TTGCCATCTTTTTAATTAATTAAACAAAAATGTAATAAGGAATTCCTTCTTACATTAGATAGAGATCTTATTTATATACGATCTTCGATCAAATGTCAAGAATGTTTGTCAAGGTCTTCAGAGACGAATGAAGTTATTATTTTTAACCCTTTAGTCCAAAATTCACATGATATTGTATTTCTGAGAAAAAAAAATCGAATAGAACTTATTTGGTACAATTCATAAGTTTGAAAAATAGTTTAGAAAACTTTCCGTATCAACAAAAGTTTAATAGACTGCTATATCATAAAGAAAAAAGAACTCAATCGATTAAGTTGATTTAATATTAGAGTTATATTTCTAGTTTTCACCTAATCTTTAAACTTCAAAACAAAAATTAATTATTGTTTACATGAAAAATAGGATCCACTTTTGAAATGTTTGAAACCAAAAAAAGATGATTTCAACCATAGGAAATTTTTCTTCAGTTTTCAGAAATTCATTTGTCATTTAGTTAAAGAAAATAGAAAAGAAGTTATCAAATATAACTAAGCTAATATAAAAAAGAAGAATTTCATCAATGAATATTTATATCATTAAAGAAGAATATAAATCATAATTACAAACACAGAAAATATGATAACAAGACTTTTTACGACTTATCAAAACTCTATACAAAACATAAAAATCTACGAAGATGTATTTTGTTTAAAAAGCTTTGAGATTTATTTATATACACCCCCGGAAAAAAATAGTTAGACTCTGTATTTTGAATATATATTCACTGTAAAGCTACATTCTTTCAAAAGTAATCACATATTCTGAACGCTCATGGAGTTTTCTCTTACCCTGTATATTTTACTTATTTCCTTGTATTCATCTATTGTGATGAAAATTTGTGTACAATGAAGGCACCCCCACCCTCGAAGTCAAGATTCCCAAAGACATGAATTTTTCACTATCATCCAAATTAGCTTTTGAAATTTTTCATCGCTATAAAATTATCTTTTAAGAAAAGTTATTATGTATTCTGATAGAGCTTGAAATTCTCTATCATCCGATATGTTAACTTATTTTTTTATGTTCATTTATTGAACAGAAAAATTGAATAAAGTAAACACACCTTCAATCGATAAGTACAAAAAATCGTTGCTTTTCTGGTTTTCTCAAAATATGATTAATATAAAAATAAGTTTTGAAAAAGGCAGTAATACATTCTGATAGAGCTTGAAATCCTCTATTACCCTATATTCTATGGGTCTGCCTTGCATTTATACGCTGCATCGTATAAATGGAAGGCAGGACAAAAGTATATAGGACGATAGAGAGTTTCAAACTCTATCAGAATATATCACTGCTTTCTAAAAACTTTTTTAGGTAGGAGTAATAAATTGAAAAAGAGAACTCTGTAAGTAACGAAAAATGAAGGATTTTTCGTAGTTGTCGGTTGAGGGTGTGTTTACTTTATTCAATTTTTCTGTTCAATAAATGAACATAAGAAAATAAGTTAACATATCTAATGATAAAGAATTTCAAGCTCTATCAGAATATATAACTACTCTTCTTAAAAGATAATTTTATAGCGATGGAAAATTCCAAAAACTAATTTTGATAACAGTGATGAAATTAAGTTTGTGAGAATATGGGTCTGAGGATACCTTCATTGTATTTTACTTAATATTTTAGAAAGCAAAAGCAAAGTACAATAGAAAGATACAGGGTGATGGAAAACTCCATGGACTTTCAGAATATGTAATTACTTTTGAAATAATGTAGCTTTATAGTGAACATATATTCAAAATGTAGAATCGAACTATTTTTTTCCGGGAGTATATATTTTATTAAACAACATTCTTTACATAAAAATTTATATTCATTTAAAAATCTATTCAAGAAAAATTTGAAAATAATAATTTTCCTAATATCGTTTATAGCATTTTTCTAAAAGTTTCAAATTGAGAACCTCTCTGTCAAATTTTTTATATCTATGAAGGAATTGAGAAGTATTATTTTCTCTTTTTTATTGGAAAAACTTTGCAAATTAAAAATAGAAAATTTTGTTTCTTTTAGTATCACTTAGCATTTAATTTCTATGTATATCTATTACTTGGATAAGAACTAAATATCTTAGATTTTACATTAAGAACGAAGATGATTAATATGAATTTAATTAAATCGAACATACTATTAAAAAATAATAAGTTTTCTGAACTATTTTACAAAAGGTCAATGAAAACTTTGCAAAATAAAAGGAAATCATTTGAAATACTTCTGAAAAGGTAGTTACAATCAGTAAAACTTTCTCAAAAAAAAGGAATAACGAATAGCTGATTTTTACTATGAGGAATAAAGCCTTCAAGTACTTTTTGGATAAATGAACAAAAGAAAATTCTTCTCATTGAAAAAGAAAAACAAAAAACCATATTGAACAATTTTTGCTAGCTTATGGATATCGAAATATTAATCAACCGAAAATAGACGTAAAAGAAAATACTTTCATTAAATTTCACAAAGAAACAAAACTTCTATTTTTAATTTTACCTTACAATTTAATATATAAATTATATTTAGTTTCGTATGATTTATTCTTTATATGCACATACGATTCATGCCTTTGTTTCGATTAAACTTTTAGTTATACATAAGTGAAGAGAAAATTATATTTCGGAGACAAAAATCCGCTTGAATTAAGAAAATTCCACTGAAGAAAAAAAAGTCTTTTTATTAATTATATATACATACACATATAGTTCATGCCTTATTTTCGATTAAAATTTTAGTTCTGTGTATGTGAAGAGAATATTATGTTTCGGAGACAAAAGTCCGCTTGAACTAAGAAAGGTCCTTTAAGTCATGGCAAGATCCGCTGACTTTCTATTTTTTTTCTTTCCTTTTTCTTTTCTATATACTAGAAAAATTTGTCGAGTATGTAAAGTCCGCTATGTTATTAGAGGACTTAAGATAAAGTGGACATTTTTTGGACCTTTGACATTGCTGAAAAAAAAGCATATTTTTGCTTGTTTTTGCTATACAAAAAAGGCAAAAGTTTCAGAATCCATGAACGCGGCGTGCTTATATCCCACTCATCTCTATTTGTAATATTAGGGTGTGGGTGTGGGTGTGGATTACTGTCAGCTTTACTCACACTCATACTAACACCCGCACCTACACACCCACACCCTTGTAGAGCTTGACAAGCTCTATCTAAGCATATAAAAACATCAATAAAAAAGCCTTAATTGAATTTTGAATTATTCGCATATCAAAAAGAAAACGAAACTTGTGTATTCAATCAAAAGGTAATAGTTTTCTGGTATAGTACAGAACATCGTTCGGATAAATAAAAACTCGATATATTCAGCTATAGTTTTAAAAATATTTCTTAATAAAGTTTTGTTAAATAGCAAAGATATATGAAATAACTTTTGTTAAATGATTTTTCGGACATCCTGTACATCAGAATAATTCACATGTAAAGGAGGAAAAGAGGAACCAATGGCATGTGGGAGAATTCATACTCTTTAAAAGAAAAAACACTAAAAGATAATTATATGGACAACAAACTGATTCCATCCCACACACGCTCCTTGTTTACAATACGACTCGCAAGTATACCATAATAAAATGATAACATGGCAAGCTTCAGTTCTCTGACACTTATTTTTAGCTGAAGGGAATCTAAAATATGCATTATTGATGACTACGTTCGATTTGGAAAATCATAAAGTCAATGACGTATATATGAGTCGTCGGTAACCGACTAGTTAATTATAAAATAAAGAAGCTCAAAGTTAATTCACAGTCGTCCGTATTCGATCACGTTTTTACCAGATTCCGAGACCACATACAAGTTAAGATTTGAATCTAATGCAACAGCCACTGGTTTATCAAGCTTAGGTGATGTAGTACTATCGTCAACAAGCACGATACCAACTGTTGAATTTGCACAATACATCACTACTCGATCATTGTCTCTATCGGCAACATACATGTTACCATATTTATCAAAAGTCATGCCTCTTGGCTTATTTAGAGTATTCTTAGAAGTATCATTTACTTGATAAATAGTCGCTGGTGAACTAGCTGCACCATTTGTCCATGAATATATTACATCTTTGTCGTCTCTAGTTGTATATATTCTATTTGTTACAGTTGGTGATATAACAATATCAACTGTCTTATCTAAGTCGCTGTCACTTAGCCAAAGAGTACCACTAGTGGCATTTGGAGCCCATTTCATTATGCTTTTGTTGCCTACATCAACTACATAAATATTAGAATTCGAATCAATAGCAACCGCTTGTGGTTTATTTAAAGTGCTCGATGTACTTCCTGCTGTTCCAGTTCCAGCAACAGTAGTACCTACATTAGAACCAGAAGGAAAACGTTGTACCCGATCATTATCAGTATCAGGCACATACATATATCCATTTGTATCAAAAGTAACATCTTCCGGATGATTAAATAATATCGAAGTTGAACCTGAAGCACTAGTATTACTACCTGCTACTACCACACCACTTGATGAACATTGATCCCATTGCTCAATGTTGTGACCATCTTTATCACAAACATAGATAGAATCATTTGTACTAATATATACCGCCAGTGGTTTTTTTAAAACCAGTAGCAACAGTTACACCTGTTTGATTCCAATGAAGACCACTACCTAAAAGAATCAATGATACATATATATGCAAATGATTAGCTGATTATTGACTGACAAGTATTGTTCACTGTTGAGGTCGGTATTGCTAAACAGAAAAAAAAATAAAAATCATGCTCCATTAAAAATTTTACTTGGGTACATACATCGAATACAGCCAAGAACATCTGTTACTGTGGTGGTTGCTTTAATAAATTTAAAAAAAAGATGGATACATTTTATTATTCATTCTGAAAGAAAAAAACATTTTTTCTTATCACTTGTTGTGGAAGTGCTAGTTGTTGATGATGTTGTACTTGAACTTGATGATGTTGTACTTGTACTTGTTGATGTACTTGAACTTGTTGATGATGTTGTACTTGTAGTTATTGATGTACTTGAACTTGTTGATGTTGTTGCTTTAATAAAATAAAAATATAATGAAATACAGATATGACCTAACAAGACACTTATTACTCACATGATGATGCCGTGCTTGTAGTTATTGTTGTATCCGTTGTCACAGCTTAAGTAAAAACAAAAGTAATATATATTAAATTTATATAGTATTCGCACTTGAAGTGGTTGCTGTTGTAGTTGTTTCTTGAAAAATAATACTTATTATTTATCATCAATTTTTATTTTTATCAACTTACCAGTTGTAGTCGTTTTTGTGTTTGATCTTGTGGCTAACAACATAAATAAAACAAAGATTATTATCTGTTTAAAAATGTCTAACTCCTTGGTAGTATACGTAATGTTCTCAATAATAAGACTTATAAAATTAATTGAAATATTCATTTGTCTACCAAATAAATATTATGAGTGTATTTAGAAAATAAAGATATAAAACAAAATGATATAATTGTGATATTCTTCATTAATAGAATTGATGTTTTTGAATTCATTTTCTTTTTTCGTATTAGTTTCAAAAGATTCTATGATTAAGAATAAGTTTCTAAATTTATTTAAGTACTATCATCAATTAAGTAAAGATTTCAATCTTTCGATCTGCTTATAAAAATTCTATGCTTTACTATTGTGTTGGTACAATAAGAAAGACTAAATATCTTTCATTAATTGTTTTTCTGAAAATGCAAATAAATTTTTACATAATTTTGTAAACAAAATTTCAAATGACCTAGAGATTAACTATTTTACAAAAGCTATTATATACATTTTTGATTTATTGTCAATATCATTTTTGGTTGTGAAGAATTAATTAGAACTACCTTCTAAAATTTATAACTCATAAGAAAAGTCAAATTATTGAAAACTCATTTTCACAACTTTAATCAGTATTTATAATATAATAATTATTCCTGTTAATGGGGTATTCACAGATAAATTTCCGGTAATTAATATTTATATTAGTCTATTCATTAGAGACTAATAGAATACAAAAATTAACATGAACTGTTATAACCATGATCAAATCTTAGAAATTTTGCACAGAAAATATGCTAATGACTGTAGCAAAAGTGGTACTTTGTGCAATGTTATCCGAAAAGTAAGTTTATGTAATAAAAGGATATTTCAATCGCTTCTTATACAGAGAGTGAATAGAGTGTCCCGTAAGTCCTTAAACAAAGAAAGATTTGAATACTTTCATTATGAGTCTGCCAAACGAGTTCATGTTTTTTTTATCAAGAATAGAGGTATGTTCACATTCCAAAGTCATACGGACAAGGATACTAAGAATTTTTGTTAAATACACTAATCTTGGAGTGTGAATATACCTCTATCCTTGGTGAAACTCTCAGCTGATTTGCTTGAACCGTAACGAAGGCATCCTATTTTCTTTTCAATACAATATTTTTTTGCACTATCCTCTATATTGTTTTTTTCCTATTGGGAAAACAGTAAAACTTTCTTTTGCATTCAACAGTAATACTTAAAAAAACTGATTCCTCAATATTCTTGTCCATATGAATTTGAAATGTTAACACATATCGATTCTTGGTTAAAAAAATGTGCTCGTTTGATCAAGTCGTAATAAAACTATTCAAATTTTTCTTTGTTTAAGGACTTACAGGACACCGAATAGATATGAGTATTCGAACCGTTTTGCTTTTCACTCAAAGTTTTAGTGTTTGTACAATCTGACGTATTTTCTATACTAAAGTTTATTCTTCTATGCTATCACTATTATTAATATACAAGTCAATGCAAGCATTACTTGTTAGAATTTTACTTTGAAGTTGACTATTAACCAGAAAAATTATGATATTAGATTTTAATTGAACAAAATATGCGTAGAAATATTTGCTAGAATTATGCAAAAGACCTATTGATATTTTGCATACCTTCCTTCCCATTATTTGACAGTACTAATGAACTCATATTACATTACCCAAAGAGTATTCAAAAAATCTCTGACGATTGAATGCATGAGAGTTTTTACAGCTGTTTCTCAGAAAAATATACAGTCATCCAAAAGTCTAATTGAAATTTCTCAAATAAGATGCATTTCTTCGTTAGTATAGATTATAGAATATTTTAATCAATAAAACACTCAATGCTGAAAACTGGACGTATAATATCCCCTCACTAGATGAATATTATCCTAAATTCTCATATCTCTAGTGTAAGCTATAACGGATGTGCATAACCTAGAACTAAGAGAAGATTTGTTTTCACAAACTGTGCAAAGTAACAGATGTTTTATGATGAAACGTGATGTTTGTATCTTCTAAAATATGGCATTAAAAAAACAAAGAGTATACCATAGGATGCAGTGTGAAAATTTCAACAATCTCGAAAGTAAAAGTCATCTTATTAGTGTGTTTTTTCTATTCAAAGAAAAGCAAAAATCCAACAATTATTGACGCTACGAAGAAAAAGAATTATTCTTGTAACAAAAATTAATCTTGGTGGCGTCAAAAATTACTTACATCGAATTTCGCCTCTTTTGAACAGAAAAAGCACACTAATAAAATGACCTTTACTTTTGAGATTGTAGAACTTTTCACACTGCATCCTATGGTATATTCTGTGTTTTTTAATGAAGTGTCACCAATAGTAAATTGAATATTTCTACGGAAAATTTTACCCTTGTTCTATAGTAAAGAATAATCCTTTTATTTATATTCAGTTGTTTTTTTATATTAATTCATTTTTTAAATATATTTTGTTGCTGAACTTCATCTAATACATGACTAAACTAATCGTTCTGGAAAAAACTTCAATTAATTATGTTTCGTATTTATATGAATAATGCTTTTCATGCATATATATTATTGATGTTAAGAAAAAATTAATTTTAATTAGAATAATTTTTGAATTAATTTATTAAATTAACATTTCTAAATACATACCAAGCATAATAACGACTCCTAATATTGCTGCCAGAAGAACTAAACATAAACTAGCTATCATAGTAACACAACAACATCGATTTGTTATTAATGACATTCGCGATGTAAATTACAATTAATTTAAGTTAATAACTATAGAAATATTAAATTAGAAAATAATTGCTTCTTATTGATCTTTTTTTGTTTATTATTTTCTCGAGTATTTATAGAGAAGGGTAATTCACCTAGTTCTCTATCTTCTAAAATAAATTTTTTTTGCACAAGTGCAATACGATTTCTACTTGATAATGATATTGAAGAATCGATTTTTGATACCATGGATAAGTTTTGAAACTAGAGAAAAGAATTCAGCAATCGAGTAAAAGATAAATATATAATAATAAAAATAATTTTCTATTTTTAACAAGAATTAATATCGATTTGTTGATAAAGTTAAGTATAACAGATGCCTAGTAGTTTAACAATGTTTCGTTAATAAATTGTCTCATTCAATTGATTAGATAATTTTATTCCTAATCGAACAACATGAATTTACATATCAACATATAAAGATATACAAAATTTAGATGTTATTTTTGTATTCAGTTCTTTTTTATGTGAATCTCTTGAGTTTAAATAACTAAAGTTATCCTAATTGTCTTTACCAATGTAGTCGTTCTATAAAGTGTTAATTCTTTTCTCTGTCATATTTTTTTTGGTTCGGATGGTTTATTCAATAATAATAATAAATCACAAGGATTAATTTTCAGTCCGATTATGTTGTTTTCCTCCATCTATTTAAATGAACTAATTGTATTAGCATGGTACTGTTAAAAGAAAAATTTTGATATGAATAAATTTTAACTCATTCATTCGATAGAGTTTATTTTGTTATATATCAATCAAATGTTGCTGCTCATTGCCGCTTTTTTTTGTCTTGGAGAAAATCTATTTTTTTTAATTTTACAAGTACACTATGATTATTCGAGAAAATAATTTTTTTTTGTTGAAATTATTATCGCGCTTCCATCAAATAGCTTTAGAAAGAACAATTTAATAAGCAGATGCAGAACATAATCCATATGCTCGTACATAACTTTGATATAGTATGCTATAATCTTTACCATTGATAATTTGTATTTTTTTCAAGTAATTTATTGTATGATAACAATTTTGTGGTAAATATCTACAGTTGAATCTATATCCTAATATTATCTTGCTTTTTTTTTACAAAATACTATTTAAATTCAAACTTTTCACTATGTTTCAATTAAAAAAACACCATATATCCAAACATTCTTTTCATAGATTATTCTTTTGTTACAAGAACTATATTTTGAAAAATTGAAAATTTTATAAAATATAGATTTCATTACTTTTCCCAATGAAGATAGATATCAGACAAAAAATTGTTAATTAATCATGTTTCATTAGTATATGTTTTTTGGATATTTCAATGAATGATACATTACTAAATGTGAGAAAATTTTAAAGTGTAAATGCGTTCAAACTCTTTGTCGAGATCGATAAAAAAACAATTATAATTTTCATACTTCAACTAAAATAGTCTTATTGAAAGCAAAATGATCGTATTGATCTTCTTACAAATTGCCTATGTGCTCAATACACGTCACAAAACTTCTCAAGACCAGAAAAGACTCAGAAATACGTAGAATTTCATAAAGAAAGTTTCTGATATTTCCTTCTCACGAGTATTACAAAATAATGAATGTATTTTCCGTTGATTTAAAACATTTGATCATATCAATGCACAATTTCTATTGTTCTCATAGTTCGAATGCATAGTCAGTGAAAAATAGTAGAGGAATAATTGATTAATTTCTAATAGTTATTAAGTAACTAAGAAACATAGTAAAAGAATCTGTTAGAGTGTTTGGTAGAAAAATATCTGTCTTTTTCTTCGTATGGAAGAAACTAAAAAAAAAAGTTCGATAGTTTTATCAACATACTTATCCATTAATAAAAACTCAAGTTATGATCAATTTATAGGGTAAGAAAGAAGGATATCTTGGCTACTTAATGATTAGAAAATTGTTTTTCAAATAAGCGAAGTAAATGATAAATAGTTATTAGTATTAATTGTATTATTTGAATTTCTCTAAAAGTCAAAATTGTTGAATATGTTTCATCAATAATTATTTTTCCAATCGATGAGTTTCAGAAATATCAAATTGTTATTTGTGTCATTATTCAAAATGCAGTTTTTATGTATTTTTTTTATCTAAAACTTATGAGAATTATTGATGTTTTTTGTTAATTTCACTGTTTCGATGAAAAAGAATTCTGAAAAAGAATTTTCATCTGCTCAAAATTACACAGCACAATACTGATTTTTCTCCAACACGAAGCTTACAAAGATATCTCGCCTTAATCGTTCTTACTTTATAACTTAATACCAACAATAGTTACAGAATTTTATATTTTTATAGTAAATAGAACAGAAATTAAAGAATATTTAAAAGAAGTCATTAGAACTTTCCAATTCGGCAATATAAACGCAATAAAACAATAAATATTAACGTTCAATATTAGTTTCAATCTCATTTCAGATGCAGTTAAACCAATCTCAAGTCTAATAAATTAAAATGTGAAATGTTGAATATCTGGAGAAGTTTTTGTTAAAATTTCTATTTGACTATAGATTGACATTACATTCTCACTCTTGTTGATGACGTATGTTAAAACAAGAGAATTACATTTACTTCAATCATCAATAAAGTGACTGCGTCTGAAAGAAAAAAACAAACATTGATCTATAATTTTTGAATAAAAGTTATTGCTGTATCAAAATGTATCATCCATTATTCGATGAATTCTATTTTAATCTTTTTCATCAGCAATCAAACAACAGGTTCAATACAAGATCATTAATAGGAATTTGAATCGAGATCTAGCTAGAAATAAATCAAAGGTTTAACGATAGATCATTTTTAGAATTTGAGATTAATCTAACTTTTTCTAGTCCACTCTTGAAACTATTTTTTCATCGTTAGATTTATCGACATTTCTTCTAGTTTGCATTGAAAATTTCTATGTTTAGATGGCAGCATAAGATTCTTTTGAACAATATTAAAATAGAACTATATCAATATATAAATAATGTCTGCTGTAAGAATATTCTCTATTATACATTTATATGATTTTGAGAAGATGAAGAACAAGATATATAGATTATGAATTAAATGACAAATGATATTTTGTATAAAATGAATAAACTTCTATGCATTCATGAAAAGATCAATAAATGATAGAAAATTATCTTTTTAAGCACTTATCAATTGGCTTTCATGAACTTGTTCATGTCTACACGACTGATTTGTATTATATATTTGAAAAATAATGATTCTTTTTACTTTGTTTAAAGAGTTGGAATTAGCTGTTGATTTGAGAGTTAGATTGTTTGTATCCTGATCTATTGAAGGTATGCTTAGACGTTGCTGAGAAGCTTCTAAACGATTTATTCTTTTTATATAAACTGATGCATATCTTTGATCATTTTGAGTCTTCATTGGACCATTGATTACTTTGTTGCTGCTTAAGTTTCGTTTCATCTCTCGTACATTAATAGATGGATTGTTCATAGGTAATGAATTATGCTACAAATATGAAATCATATTAGTATTATACTAGATAAATATGAATGGATAACATACGCGTGTTCTTTGTATTGAAACACGATTCATTATTAGATTTTGGACTGAAGATGCCATATGCACGTTTACAGATTTGTCTATTCTTTGAATAAAACTTTAAATCTTTATAATATCATTTTCTAAGCAAAAATAAATAATAAGTCCCACATAAATCTATTTCTCTGAACTTTGCATAATGCTATTAATATTTCAAAGAGGACTATATTGGCTAAAACGTTCTCTTCTATTTATTTAACTTATAGATGAGAATATTATCATCAAACTTCTGGTTACTCACTATCTTATGGACTGATTTCTCTTTTGATGGAAAGATCCTATCTACAATAGTAATTTACTAATTCTATTCAGTTCTTCTTGTAATAATCGAGAATAGGCCTAATTATAGCTGTAGTATCAAAACTTTTAGCCAGAAATATGGAGATCTTCAACATTTCTATTACATCACTTTCAGCTAGAAATAATCAATTTTCTAGGAAATAAGAGAGAGGATTTTGTGGAGAAGAAATGTGCGCCGTCCCAAAAAATCGACGAGCAGTGACAGAAAATACGAGTTACACTTTCAAATAGGGGCAGCGGTACTGACCGCGCTGTAAGCTATGGTTGCACTATACTTCGTTCAAAGGGTCATATGGTGCGGTCTCTCCGCTGAGCAATTGTTCAATAACCATTGAGTGGCCGCTCGGCTCTTACTGAAATTGTTTACCATGATTTGTTTCGTAAATTTATTGGAACATCTTTTTAATGAATGCTGCATAAGCTATTCATACCGAAAGTTCACTTCAATATAATTCAATAAGTCTAGAAATAGATCAACGTGATAGGAAAAGTTATTAGAAACTAACGCAATAGGATCATAGAAGATAATAGTTTTTACAGCATAATATTAGTGATGAAGATCAATATCAGTGATTTTATTAGATAAGAATGGAGAAAACTTGGATACCATAAAAAGAGATGATAGTTAAACTAGATATTAAATTTGAGAGAGGAAATTATTAAATAAATTTTCTCTGTGAGCTTTCACATTTCTTGTTAATTAGAGATAGCGATTTTTGTCTCAGAAAATCATATATTTGTAGTAATTTATACAAATATATGAAAAGGAAAACAAAAATAAGGCATCCTAAAAGGCAAAGTTATAATGAAAAAAGAAAAAAAAATTGAAGACAATTATTTATCTCTCTAGTAAATGTAACCAAAGGAGTAACAAAAAACAATTTATAAATGGCACCATAGAGCGCCTAGCATAAGGCAAACATATTTTTGAAAATCAAAATCCATCCAGTGGGGGATTGAAAAATGATCTTTGTATTAATTGTGAGTAATTGACTTTGTCGATAACCGAATATCTACCTGATAAAGTTGTAATCTCATTTGACTGATAGTTTTCAGGATGGATCATAGTCAAAATTGACTCTATTTTTCCAGAGGTAAAACCTCCTGA